CAGTTGATATTATAGTTAAGTAAATGGATGTGACTCTTTGCTTCAAGAGGCTGCATTAGTATTACAGCTTTGTTGATAAAAAAAGAAGGATTAGAACTTGGATGTCTGAACTGTCTTGTTAATTGTTACATTACATAAAAGTCCCTGTGCTTGTTTCCATATCAAATAATCATTTTGGCATGTACAGTCCTTGTTTACAGATATTGAAGACTGAATACATATTATTGAAAATTCTATTTGATGACTGTCCTTTGGAGGGTATTTTTAGGAGATTAAATCTTTCATTTAAGGGTGAGCAAAAGATCCAAATTGTTAAATCTAATCCATAATTTTCTAAATCCGTTTCACTTTAATTCTATTTAAATAGATTTATCTCAAGTCCAAATTCATATTTTTGGATTATAGGTCCAATCCATTTGTTAAAATAAAAGAGAGGGGCATGGGTTGAATCCCTAATATGCATTTATAAATAAGAAAATACATAGAGATGTGCCTAAGCCCGTTGTTGAATATAGTGGAAAACTATATTTGGATTAATCTCCCTTGTGTAAAATACATACATAGGGTTCTCTATTTATAATAAAAGAAATATGGTCTAAGCCCAAAATACAAATGAGAAATAATAACAAACTAACTAAAAAATAAAAGATATAATATATCTAACACTCCCCCTCAAGCTGGAGCATACAAATTGTATGAACTAAGCTTGGAATAGATGAACTCAGTGTTGAACTAGATGATTTGTCTTCAAGAGTGAGGCAAACATGGACTAACAGCAGCTCGTGACACTTCAACTTCAAAAGTGGATGAAGGAGAGCAGTGGTGGACAATGACAAACTGCAAGGACTGATTCCCAATCAATGATGGATGAGTGACGAGATCAACAGTGGTAGCTGAAAGCTAAGAGCTACAAAACTGCAGGGACTACACTAAATCCTCATCAATGATGGATGGGTGACGGGATCAACAGTAGTAGCTGAAATCTACAAAACTGCAGGGACTACACCCACATTTATGTGACTTGCAGTGTCTTGGAAACGTACTCCCCCTTAGTGTGAAGGTGGAAATGTGAAAGATCACAGTTGCTGAACCACTAAAACAAAACAAAATATTAAGCTACAATGCTGAAACAAAG